AAGTGCTCTATGTCTGTGCCAATGGTGTGTCCACTACCAGGAGTACTGGTCTGGGGGTCAGCTGCTGGGGACTCTGACTGGTCATGCCACTCCTGGACACACTGGGCACCACTCTATTCCCATCTGTCCTGGTAGTATCAAAGGTAGAGCTTCAGGAGCAGTTTCATTGGGCTCTTTATCATGGCTCTCCCCACCTCCAGGATATAGCTTTCTCTCTCTCTCTCTTTTTTCTTTCTTTTTGCTTACAGGTTTTTAACATTAACTCTGACCTTAGGATGCAGTTGGAAAAAGCAAATGACCTGTCCCCAAGAAACACTGGACAATATCTTTAATATTTCCAGATACCTAGCCTACCTTAAAGGACAAATGCACTCTCCCTCACCTAGGATTAAGGAAATTGGCTCTGTGAGTACCCTTACCAAAACATGACCAATATGTCCAGATACTTCAGATCACCTACATTCTAGTGGTATAGAACCTTTTATGATTTCCACACCAGCAGTGGCCACAGAGGCAAATGCAACACCTAGTGGCCATCTAGTTATGCCATCCATGCCCCCTATGTCTGAGGAGGTTACATTCATGGACTTCGGGCCAGTAGGTTCATATTCTTATCTAAGTGGTTCTGGACCTTGGTGATGGGCACATGGAAGATACCATCAGTAAACAGTATCTTCCTAACAGAAGTTAGGCACAACTTACCCACACATCTGTTACCCAATATGAATCAGTTCCTTAATAATGTTTGTAGTTGCTTCAAAAGACCTTGTACCACCCCACCGGTGTGGCTCACTGGTTAAGCATCGACCCATGCACCAAGACGTCACCGGTTCGATTCCTGGTCAGGGCACATGCTCAGGTTGTGGGCTCAATCCCGAGTGAGGGGCATGCAGGAGGCAGCCAATCGATGTTCTCTCTTATCGATGTTTTATCTCTCTCTCCCTCTCCTTTCTTTTCTCTCTAAAAATTAATAAGGGGGTGGGGGAAGACCTTGTACCTTATTTTTACATTTTCACAGCTAGTCAAGTTTCGGATAATTCTAACGCTATCATCCATAACCCTGACGTGTAGAGACAGCAATACCACTCCCACTTCAAGCTTCCTCTGTTCTGAATTTCTTACACTTTTCCCAGAGTACACTGTGCTTTCTTGGTGCCTCTGCTCATCCTATTCTGCCTAGAATGTCCTGGCCTGGCTTGTCTGACTGGGCAAACACGCAGGCATTTTAAAAACCACAGTGCCGTTGATGTTGGGCACCACTCGCGCAGACCTTGTCACCCGCGCCCGCGTCACCACTGCCTCCTCTGAGCCTTGGTGTCTGCCCCATCACATTGTTACATGTCTTGTCTTCTCTACTGGATTGTAAACTTCGTAATAACAATGACTGCAGCCAGGAACTATTCATTTACCTGCGTCGCCCCCGTACAAATAATGTCAAAAATATATTAGGTGCTATTTGTTGCTTAATTAAAGAATGAGGTCCTAATGGATCGACAGACAGAGGCCTAGCCCACGACATCTGATGATTCATCATATCCCCTAGGTTTAGCATATACTAAATTCTTTGTAAACGTTTCTGGGATAAAGAAATTAAATGACTGAATGTATTTAGAAACCAGCAATTTTCTTGTTCACTTCTGATTTTTTCTGTGATTAGTACTTTCCCAGTGAAAAGTCAACTTCCTTCCACAAGGCTCCATTCTGAGTTCCCCCAAGTTTCTTTATCTCCAATTCTGTCACATCCTGCCTACCTACTTGTTATCTGAATCTGGATTTTATAAATATGCAGAACAGATGGAGCTTTTACAATAGGCAAGAACCGAAGAGCAGACGCCGACGAACTGAATGGAGCACTGGAGGAGGCTACTATTTAATACCAATGCAGTTCTGGTCTGGTTATGTGTTGAAAAGATTACACATGATAATATTTGTGAACTGGTTGTATAAAGAGTAAATGTACAGTATACATTCATAGTAATGCATTAGAATAATAAAGCTTGAGTGTAATAATTCTCAGAATATACTCAGTTCATTCTCCTTGAAAGCTCAGGGAGTACACTTGTACATCTTTCTATTTGGCATTAATTTAGTTGGAGGTAATCAATATTCGTCTGAATAAGAAAAATCCAAGTAATTGTAAATACTCATATTTAGTCAACAAGAACATAATTTTGAGAGGTGTACCTTTTATAACTAAAACAGTCAAAGATTAGACTAATTACAATGTTTCCTTAAGATGAGAAACAAAAACTGTAAAAGGGCGATTGTACTTATATCTTAAAGCAAATATACCAGAAAAAGTTCCTTAACCATGTATCCTTTCCTTCCCTTTAATTAAAGTTAACGATTCTTTGTGTGCCTTTGTACAATGAAAAAGCCAGTGCTCCTTTTCCTCGTGTTTAATGTACAGATTAATATAACACATTTGGATTTCACAAACTGATACTTCCAGTAGTTAGCATTTTTCTTATTCAAGAAAAAGGCAGTAGCATTATTTAGCTTCTATTGAAGTATTGTTAAGAATAATTTAAGTGTGCCCTGGCCGGTTTGGCTCAGCAGTTAGAGCGTCGGCCTGCAGTCCTGAGAGACCCGGGTTCGGTTCCCGCTAAGGGTGCGTACCTCGGTTGCAGTTTGTCCCTGGCCCTGGTCGGTTGTGCGGGTGGCAGCCACTCGATGTGTTCCTTTCACATCGATGTTTCTCTCTCTCTCTCTGTTCCTTTCTCTCCCTCCCACTCTACCTGAACAAAAAATGGAAAAATGTCCTCGGGTGAGGATAAAAAAAAAAAAAAGAATAATTTAAGTGAGAAGGGGCATCAGGTTACATTAAAATTAAATTTTGGCCCTTGGCTCAAATTTTGGCCGGCTCAGGGGTTAGAGCATTGGCCTGCAGTCCAGAGAGACCAGGGTTCTGTTCCTGCTACGGGCACGTACCTCAGTTGCAGTTTGTCCCCAGACCTGGTTGGTAGTGCGGGTGGCAGCCACTCGATGTGTCCCTTTCACATCGATGTTTCTCTTTCTCTCCCCCTCCCACTCTATCTGAACAAAAAATGGAAAAATGTCCTCGGGTGAGGATAAAAAAATAAAAATAAATAAATAAATAAATTTTGCTTCAAGTTTCTTATTTGAATATCAGTGGTATGAAATACTCATTAAAAAAAAGAGAAATGGTATGAAAATAATTGTTTTGAACAGGAAAGTAGAAAAAGTGATGTGTGGTTCTTAAAAACCAAAGGTGGTGTATTAGAAAGCATAGTGGAAATACAGTGAGAGTAAGGAAATTGGTTCTAAATTCATCTCTGCTACTAAGTAGCTCCTTTTCACTAGTTAATTCTGAACATTAAATATGTTTCCCTAAGTGAATTTGAATGTGATAGTCCCTGATGATAAGCAGAGGGGAATATTTCTTTCTGGGGCTGAATCAGGTTATCATTCTTCTAAATGCATATTATTGGATTGATTATTTCAGTGTGGTTCTTCTTTATTAGAAGTCACCAAAAGGATATTTTGGAGGGATATATAGTAGGCAAAGTACTCTTTGCCACCTGTTTCCTCTGCCAATGTCCCCTATCCTTAATACCCCTGTAGGAGCCCTAGAGACTCTGAGAGGGTCACATTTTACCTTTGCAATACTCGGTTTTTGGCATCTGTACAAAGCTGAGGGTGATCTTTCAGGGAGGTTGCTATGACAATTTGCAAACAGTAGGGAGGATGGGACTCGCACAGGAGGTGGCCTTCTTCTGATTTGAATCTGCACTAGTCTAGGCCTGCAAACGTGGTCCATCCTGGGGCTGACTGGCAGACACCCAAGGCAGAGTATAATGTACCCAGGTCCCCAGGTGAACTTCAGAAACCTGGCACGTCTTGGGAAGGAATGCAAGGCATAGCTTTGAACTCAGTCAACGGGAATTGCCCGGTTTCCCCTGTCCCTCCCTCCCTCCCCCCATGGCTGAAGTGACAACCTGTGACCTTTGGACAGGCATATGCCCCATACAGGCGAGGCATGGGTGTGATGTGGGCAAACAGTCTTTTAGTCTGCAAGGAAAAGAGAGGCTGTAGAGAGTAAGTTAAAAGGGTAGGGAAATTTCCCAAGCGTCTTGGAAGGGAAGGGGAGAGAGACTTGTCTTTGGGGATGAGAGGAATGAAAGGTGTCGTTCCCTTACTGCGGTGAGTTTACAGGAAGGTGTGTCTCTCTCCCACTGGCCGCGCTGGGGAAAGGCTCCGAGTTGTAAGGAAATGGGAGGTGTGTCTGATGTTTATTTTTGCCTAGCAACCCACAGCCAACTGCTTACCCGGCAGCGGTCCACACGCGCCTTTCTGCCTCCCCTGGTCCGAGAGACGCGAGAGCGGTCACTTGGCGGCAGTAAATCGGGAGGGAGTGTGTGGTGGAGGTGGAGGTGAGAGAGGCCCCCTCCTTCGCCCACGCTCGGGGGTCACCAGGCTAAACTGCGGCCCTCCACCGGGCTTGACTTACAGAGGTGACCCTCGCACAACTAAGTTATTTACAAGATAAATTGGGGAGAGGGAGTGGTTAAGCCACAGGGACCGGGAAGGGGGACAGCCATTCCTGAGCAGCCATTAGGTTTGAAAGCTGAAAATACGTTCGTATTTGGGGGCGCGCGTGGAAGGGGAGGGGTCTCGGCAGTGACTGCGGTGGGAGGCTAGAAGCGGTAGGTTGGGCCGAAGGCAGGGAGGGGTGCTGCAGGGGCTGGAGAGGCCGAGGTGGGGAAAAGGTCGATGGCATCGGAGCCGAGGGGAGCGGTGCAGATGGCCGAAGGGGGAGGCGGAGGGCGAGCCGAGGCCGCGGAGTTTTCCGGGGAGTGAAGGGGTGGCCATGCAGATGACTGGGTGGGGGGAGGGACTCCGGTGGGTGGCGGGGTGGGGGTGGAGTGTGCGCGAGTGTGTGTGGCTGGGCCGGGGGAGTCCGGGGCGGGGCCTGCACCCACGGCGACTGGGAGCGGGGGCGGGGCCGCCCTCCCCCGCCGCGCCGCTCTCGGGCGCCTGTGCGAGTGTGCGCGGGGGCGCGCGCGCGCGAGAGTCCGGGAGGAGGCTCCGGAGCGAGTCGGTCCTCGCGGCTCAGCCCGCTGCCCCGCGCCCCATGTGAGCGAACCGGGGAGCCAGCGGCGCAGGGGAGGGCGAGGCATGTGCACGGGCCGGGGGGTGCTGCCGCCGCCCGAGGAAGAGGAGGACGGCGGCGGCGAGGAGAGCGGGGGGCTCGCGGCGGCGGGCTCGGGCCGAGGGGATGCAGCGGACTGTGTGTGTCCGGCAGTAGCTGACGCGAGGCGGCGAGGAGGCGCTGGAGATCTGCGAGAAGGGCGACCGGGCGGCGGCGGCGGCGGCGGCCGCGAGAAGTAGCAGCAGGACGGGCGGCGGCGGCGGAGACGGCAGCCCTGAAATGCATTTTCTTCTCCAGCGGCCATGTTAACCAGGAAACCTTTGGCCGCCGCTCCCGCCGCCTACCCGAGCGGTAAGGAGGCCCGCGCCACCCCGGGGCCAGCCTTCGTGGCGCGGGCGCCGCTGCCTGCGGGACCTCGAACAAAGTCTCGCCGCGGCGGGCCCCCGGGCGGACGGCGCGCCCTGGCCGCGGCTCAGCTCATTGTTGCACGCGGTCCCCGAGGCCGCTCCGAGGGAGCCCTCCGACCCTGCTGGGTGGGGTTTGTCCCTGGCCTCCCACCGTCCCGGGCTTGGCGAGGCGGTGGCGCCCTGGCGGGCAAAGCACCCCGCGCCGGGCCTGCGGCCGCCTGCAACGTGGGCCGCCCAGCCCGGCCCAGCGCGGCTCCCCGCCGGGTCGCGAACTCGCGCACCCGGGCTCGACTTAACTTTGCAGCTGCCCGAGCCCAGCCCTTGGGTGCGTGCTGGGGATCCGTGTCCCGGACGCCCATTTTCACTGTCTCCGTGTCTCCCCCAAAGAGAGAGGGGTTCGCTGCCCTGAGGGGTGGGGCGGGGCCACCGGGTCTGGGTGACTTTCTCCCCCCTGACCCTCTTTTGTCTCCTCCCGCGCGTGGCTCCCAGGCCGAGGAGGGGACAGCGCCGTTCGTCAGCTTCAGGCCTCCCCGGGGCTCGGAACGGGCCCACCCCGGAGCGGAGTGGGGACCGGCCCGCCCTCCCCCATCGCCCTGCCGCCCCTCCGGGCCAGCAACGCTGCCGCCGCAGCCCACACGGTGAGACCCAGCCCGCGAGCGGCCTCGGGAAGGGGTGAGGGAGGGGGCACGGGGCATAAACACCCGGATTTGTGGGGTTCTGGTGCCTGGAGAAGAGAGGTCGAAAAGCTTGTGTCTCCACGCCCCTGGCCTGTAGCCTCTCCTGGACGCCGCCCTCTGTAACTTGGGCGAGCCCAAAGCTGCAGCCACAAAGGAAGATTCGTGGCGTGGGCCCCTCACTTCCCCTCCGGAGCCCGCCCACCCCTCGCTCCTCTTCCTCTGAACTTCCCTCCTTGCCTCCTTCCTCCTTTTCCCTCTTCTTTTTTTGTCCTTGCTTCCCAGAGCTCCTTTCCCTGACCCGGTAAACATCCCTCCTCCCCCCACGTTGGATAGTGGGTATTTATAGAAACAGATATGTGTTAGGGGACAGCCAGGCAGTCCTGCCCGGAAAATCGATCCCTCAAAGAGCCTCCCAGGCCTGTCTCCAGCCAACAGGGAGCACCATCAATTGTCCCCCGCGTGTGGAAGCATGTTTTATGAGTGCTACAGGTTTGAGCACAGCAGAAATTGTAATTAACATTAACAAAAATAAGAGCCACAGCAGCAGTCAGAACAACAAGCCACCCTGTAGGATTCTGCAGTTGCATGTTATTTAAAAGCAAGGGGCCAGCTTTGCTTTGGAGGTGGGAAAGGAAGGGTACCTGGTATCCCAGTGAGGGCCCAGTGGGAGTCTGTGGGTGCAGAGATTGGCCAGCTGGATTTGACTTCAGCTTGTACCTTTCCTCAAACCCAAAGATGGCCCTTGAATGGTGACTGCCAGCCTAGAGGAGGTGTGCACTTGGAAGAGGTGAAGGTTTCCCAGGTCTTATTTCCAAATGAATCTCCAGAGTAACTGCCTAAGATGGTTCTCTAGGATGCTTGCTAAGGATTCAGCTTTGTTTGTCAAATGAAAGTTGAGTTTTGTAGAAAAGACCATTTCTAGCCTACAGAGGAGCAGCTTTGAGCGTGATGTAGTATGGAGAAATTTGTTTATTAGGGGAGAATTTATGAGAGGATGGCTAGAGTGGAGTCTCTCCTCTGAGACCTGGACAGATGTGTACAAGTTCCATAGGAAAATGTTTTGTTGTTGTTATTCTTACTTATTTCTCTCTCTTCTCTCTCACTTTCTCTTTCCTGACACATTTACACCCATGGGCTAAGAATTCATTACACAGAAGTTTAACCAATCTGTGTTGGACCGTTGATGGTGGGAGAGCATCTGTCAGTAGGCTGGGTGATTTCTTATGGTTGAATCTTCTTGTCACAGTGACATTTAGTTAAGAACTTGCTGTTGTTTTTAAGAGTTTGGGTTTATTTGTTTGGAATTACCTGACAATTTGGAAAACGTAACATCTATTTTTTTTTCCCATGTGTGGATATAATCACATGACTTGGTGTTACTTGGGGAAAAATACTTGGTTTGCATCTGGACTCCAGTTTTATGAGGGTTGGCTTTGTTTGATCGTAATGAAATTAGAGAAAACGAAAGGTGCTCATTAGAAGAATAGTCTGTGGTGGACCCAAAATGAAAAGATGTGAGGGTGCTTCTTAGGACTCCTTATGAGGGATGCTTGTATTTTGCTGTGGTATCTGTCTGATTTACCTATTTTTAACTTACCTATAAACGTCAGGATGCTGTTAATCTTTAGAGCTTTGGTTTTGGAAGTGTGATTTGAGGTTTTGTTGTTTAGCTTTGATTTTATTTGCACAACATCACAGATTTCCTAGAACAGAACGTATAAAAGGACCACAGCATTTATGTGGTCTACTCCTTCATTTCACAGACGAGGAAACTGACAAGTTAACTGATTTGGTCAAGATTCCCTGGCCAATTCATATCAAGGCTGGAGCTAAAACCAGGCGCTCCAGAGTCTAGTTTCCACATATGCTTGAACTGCTAATTCTAGGAAATTATATTAATTTCACTATAAATGCCAGAACCTTTGCAGATCCTTATTCCCATATGGCTTTCAGAGTTTTGTAAGTGTTCATTTCCACAGCAGTTGCACCTGGGGAAAGCTGTTTTAGAATGAGTGGAGGAAAGGGCATTAATGAGAGGAAAATGATCTTGTCATAGGAGCCTGCCCATATTTTCCCTTGTAAATGATATAGTAGGTGGATATATGATTGTAAAGATTATGAACTTTGGAATGTATTAGTCCATTGCTCTTTTTTTCCTATCTCTATGGATTATTATTGTACACTTAGTCATTTTGTTTATCTCTGTTTGTCCTAAGAGTGTATCCAATAACTATCTTTTTTTTCCCTACTAGTTTATTTCTTTTCTTGTTGTGTGGGAGATAGTAATATACTTATTTTTTAATTCCCAAATATTAGTATGGTATCACTTTTATAAGTGTTCTAATGTTTAAAGCATTTTCAAGTTACCAGTTTTACCTTTATGAAGTAATTGGAGAAGAATGAATATTCCTATTAAAAATAGTACTATTTTGAAGAAGAAGTAGACATTTGACTCAGGGCCACACAGACCATCAGTTGTTTGAGGAGGAGCTAAAATTCCAATCCTTTTGGACTCGGTTCTATTCCCATAACACTATATACAACATTTCTAAGATGACTTCAGAGAAGTTTTGAAACGCCCAGAAATGTTAGCACAGTGAAATATCTGCTGTTTTCCATTTTACTATTGGCAAGATTAAAACTACCAAACTGGTTAGACTATGGTTCTTACCTAATTTTTAATACTAACCTATTTCATGGTCAGAGAAGGCTTTTGTAGGTCTCTCCATTTTAACTCATGCATTGTAGGTATCATTCAGTGTGTATTTTTTAAGAGGACAGGTTCTGTGCTAGGAAAGCATTGGCAAACAGGAATAAGCCACAATCTCAGGCTCAGGAGGCTGAGGGAGAGGTTTTCAGTATCCTTCAGTTTACAATTTAGTCCTGGCATAAGTATTCTGGAAATGTTTTGGCTTTTTTGCCCACCCCCCCCCCCCCCCGCATAGGCCAGTTAATTGTGCTTCCAAGTTTGGTTTTGATTTTAAAAGTTTTACAGTGTTTGAGACTCAAAGTCCCCCTTTACCAGAGCCTCTCACGTGAATCTCCTTAAGCTCTGGAAAGTTTTTAAGATACTACATGTTGCTTATAGGTGTTCTGTTGATGTGTCTGCTACAGGTGCTTTGTAACTGCTGCCATTTGCCCCCAAGCCTCTGCTGATGTACTCACTGCAAGCCTAACGTATTGTGACTTGGGTCACTAGGGACAATTTGCAATTCCCTGGGTGTTAACTTAAAGTTTTCTTATGAAGGTACAAAGGTACCTCTCAAGAATAACTCAGGTGTGATATAACAAGGATTTATTGACATGCCGTTTTCCATTCAACAGATTTATGAGTGCTTACCGTATGTTTGGGTTTATATCAATAGGGACTTAAAAAGATAAGATATACCCTGCCCGGGAACTGCTCACAGCCAGGTGGGTAAATCAGGTGTTAAAACACTTGCAGTAAGATGAAATGTGTTACAATATATCAGCACAGTAGAAGGGAAAGGGAATTTTACAGAAGAGGTGAGGATCGAACTGGGCATTGAAAGTTGATTAGGAGTTTACGGTTTAGATGTGTTTAGGAAGGAAAGGACGATCATAATAGTCCTCTTTTACTCAGTGCTATATTAAGCACTTTATGCGTTTTACTTTATTTAATCCTCCTAAGAGCCCCCTGAGGTATCTTCGTTACCTTCCTTTTTCAGATAGGACACTGTGGTCCAGAGACTAAGTACCTTGCCCAAGGTCACACTGTTAATCAGTGGTGGAGCTGAGACTCATTTCCCGTGTGTCTACTTGGAAACCCTGGACTCCTAACCATGATGAGAATGACCTCATCAAAAGCAGAGGAGCATAGAAAGCAATGGTGTTTGCACAGGTCTCAGGGAATTAATTCAGCTTTGTGACTCTCGGACAGAATAGTGAAGGTCGGAAAGACTCGGGTCATTTAGGCTCTATGTTTTAGAATCTCATGTTCTTGCCTGTGAGTTCTGTTATCTTTAGAAATGGGTGCAGTGTGGGCCTTGAGCAAACCAGCAGGGCAGTGTCAGAGGGACTCCTTTAGAGAGTCGCTCTAGGAGCACTGTGGAGAGAAGAAATTTGAGGGATTCTAGACTCAGAAGCAAGGGGGTCATGTTAGGAGGCTGTTTCAGTCGTCCTAGTGAGAGACAACCAGAGTGTGAGGGGAGATAGAAATGATGAGACCTAAGGATGACTTGGGAAGATGAGGAAGACATGGAGGAGGATGTCCAGGTATACAGCTTGAGTAGCTATGTGATGGTGAAGTCTTTTGTTTATCAGAAATTGAGGGTTAAGAAGGAAGAAACGGTTTTGGTAGAAAAACCATGAGTTGAGTTCGAGTTGCCTTCGGAAAGGCAGCTAATCTGTGGTTGGACACATGGGTCTTGACCTCAGGAGACATAGCTTGGGCAGGTCTGAGCTGGAGGAGCAGATGTGGCAGGTGTCAGCCCATGGACGGTTGTGATCATGGTCAACCAGGGAGAGGTATGGGAGTGAGTTGAGGCTTGAACCCTGTGGAACCTTTGAACCCATCTATGGGTTGGTGAACTAATAGGTAATACTATGGAGGAGACCAAGAAAGAGAAGACTGTCGGAAAGCTAGGAAGTGATCAAGTTAATTGGCTAAGCTCTCTTTAGTACTAGTCACTAACTTTTGTAATTATATTTAAAATTATGCAGAACATTAAAATTGCTATCGCAGAAACTGAAGTCCATTTCAGATGCTCAAAATGTTTTACTTTGCTATATCTTTTTAGGAGTTCCTAAAGCCCCAAAGTTAATTTTGTCCCTAATGAAATCTCATGCTTTTTGTAGCCTGTTTACTGGTAATGTAGGTTTTTCTTCTGAAATCTCTCCATACTGACCTAAAGAGAGTGGTTCTAATATTTCCAATTTTGGGTCCTTTTATTCCATGGTGTTTGAAAGACTACAGTGGGGAGGAGGGGTGCAGAGAGTGAGCCTTGGGAACAAAGGCAGTGGGCAAACCTGTACTACTTTTATATATACCCAGGACTTTCCTCGTTTTCATGGGCTGCTTGCTTTTGGCATAGAACAAGGATAAAATAACCTGTCCAGCTACCCTTACAGAAGATAAGTTCACTTAGCTTGGAATATCTGCTGTGTATGTAATCAAAGGGATCAACCAGAAGTCTTCTAGAAATCTGTCTGAGAAATAAAATCTCTCAGTCTATGAAATCACACTTCAGACATGCCCAAAGTAGACTGTATTCTACTTTGTTTTGAAGAACACAAACATCACTCCTCACATAGTTACTGCGCTTGCCATGTGTCATTTAACATGTGAAGGTCTTGAAATTTCCTTTTAATAGTTTAAATGTTCAGAAACATTTCCTGAATTATTATATTACATGTGCAGAGCACTTTTGTGCTTATAGTGGTATATAAAGCCCAAAAGGTAGGCCTGAAGAGGAGATAATAGAAAAAGTGCTGATGGTAGAGATTTCAGCTAGATTATTGTAAACTTCTAGAGGTCAGGGACTGCCACTTAGTGACTAGACCTCAGTTAACAGTGGTGGAGTGAATGAGATGGATTATGAATAACAAATTGATCTTTAAGATTTCATGTAGAAATCATCCAGTGGGATGCTTTAAGACTTGGGGTGGTTGTCTAAGGTGGCAAGAATTCCTAACTGAGAGGGATCTTGGCTTGTTAGTCCTCTCCCACCCCTCACCTCTTTGCAACAATAATGCAAAAGGAAGGAAATCCCATGAGAATCTCAGTAGAGGTGGGGGAGGGGGCTTGGTTTACACCATCCTTTTTGTTTAGACAGGAACATTCCGGGATGGCATGTGTGCCTGAAAATAGAAATCGCTACTTTGTATTCCTTGTTGGAAAGCTGAGTATCCCAGTAGCCCAGAGAAATACATGTCTTGAGAGCTGAGCCATTGACCAGAGGAAGGCCCAAAAGAGCATGATGGTTGGTTTGTTGGGCTGAATGGCCTTAAATGGTCATCACAGTCAGTGAAGCCCAGAAACTTTAAAAATAGGTTAGGGGTTTGCAAGATACTGCAGTGCATATCTGCGTGGAATCTCTCAAGCCTGAAAGGGCAGTTTTCTTTGCCACTGGATCATGAGTTTTCTTAGGTATAATCAGATTTCCAAGTAGTGAAGACTGGGAATGAACATACTAGTGTTTTCAGAATAGAGCTAGCTAAACGTTGGAGAAAGAGAAGTGAACAAGACAGGCTGGGTCCCTGCCCTGTGGTAATCAGGAAGCTATAAGAGGAGGTGTGAAAGGCGCCAGGACCTGGGGAGGTGGAGCCAGTGTAGAGTCGATGTGTGCATGCTTTCTCAGTATCCTTTTTCATCTGATATCAATTATGGATTGAGTGGAGCACCTGTGATGTGCTGGCTGTGTGCTAAATGTTAGGTAGAGTATAATGAATAAGAATGATACTCTCTGCCTCCACCAGGACTTTATTCTCAGTACCCTTAATATGTACAGCAAACTGCTCATCTGTTAGGTGCAGCATTTATGGGGTCCTTTTTTCAGGATTCCAGGTTTTATAGCCTTACCAAGACAACTAACCTTTTTATTTTGTAAGAGGCTATTGGTATCATAACCACTGTCCCTGTCAGGGTGTTCATGAGGTTCCTCTTGGACACACAGCTCTTTCCGCTTAGTAAACCTGACACTTGACTATAAATTCAAAGCAAGTTGGATTTGGTAAATGAGGGTTGGGGGGCTTACTTATAAAATATCCCATTTGAATAGACAGACCTCTTCTATTCTATTCATGTTTCCTTTCCAAATTCCAGATTGGTGGCAGTAAGCACACGATGAATGATCACCTCCATGTCGGCAGCCATGGCCACGGACAGATCCAGGTGCAGCAGCTGTTTGAGGATAACAGTAACAAGCGGACAGTGCTCACGACACAACCTAATGGGCTTACAACAGTGGGCAAAACGGGGTTGCCGGTGGTGCCAGAGCGGCAGCTGGACAGCATCCATCGGCGGCAGGGGAGCTCCACCTCTCTGAAGTCTATGGAAGGCATGGGGAAGGTGAAGGCCACCCCCATGACGCCTGAACAAGCAATGAAGCAATACATGCAAAAACTGACCACCTTTGAACACCACGAGATTTTCAGCTACCCTGAAATATACTTCTTGGGTCCAAATGCAAAGAAGCGCCAGGGCATGACAGGTGGGCCCAACAACGGTGGCTATGATGATGACCAGGGATCATATGTGCAAGTGCCCCATGATCATGTGGCTTACAGGTACGAGGTCCTCAAGGTCATTGGGAAGGGAAGCTTTGGGCAGGTGGTCAAGGCCTATGATCACAAAGTCCACCAGCACGTGGCCCTGAAGATGGTGCGGAACGAGAAGCGCTTCCACCGGCAGGCAGCGGAGGAGATCCGGATCCTGGAACACTTGCGGAAGCAGGACAAGGACAACACCATGAACGTCATCCACATGCTGGAGAATTTCACCTTCCGCAACCACATCTGCATGACGTTCGAGCTGCTGAGCATGAACCTCTATGAGCTCATCAAGAAGAATAAGTTCCAGGGCTTCAGCCTGCCTTTGGTTCGAAAGTTTGCCCACTCCATTCTGCAGTGCTTGGATGCTTTGCACAAAAACAGAATAATTCACTGTGACCTTAAGCCCGAGAACATTTTACTAAAGCAGCAGGGTAGAAGTGGTATCAAAGTGATCGATTTTGGCTCCAGTTGTTACGAGCATCAGCGTGTCTACACGTACATCCAGTCCCGTTTTTACCGGGCTCCGGAAGTGATCCTTGGCGCCAGGTACGGCATGCCCATCGATATGTGGAGCCTGGGCTGCATTTTAGCAGAGCTCCTGACCGGGTACCCCCTCTTGCCTGGGGAAGACGAAGGGGACCAGCTGGCCTGTATGATTGAGCTGTTGGGCATGCCCTCCCAGAAACTGCTGGATGCGTCTAAACGAGCCAAAAATTTCGTGAGCTCCAAGGGTTATCCCCGGTACTGCACTGTCACGACTCTCTCAGACGGCTCTGTGGTTCTCAACGGAGGCCGTTCCCGGAGAGGAAAACTGAGGGGCCCACCAGAGAGCAGAGAGTGGGGGAATGCACTGAAGGGGTGTGATGATCCCCTTTTCCTTGACTTCTTGAAACAGTGTTTAGAATGGGATCCTGTGGTCCGCATGACCCCTGGCCAGGCTTTGCGGCACCCCTGGCTGAGGAGGCGGTTGCCAAAGCCTCCGGTGGGGGAGAAGACGGCGGTGAAGAGGATAACCGAGGGCTCTGGTGCTATCACTTCCATTTCCAAGTTACCTCCACCTTCCAGCTCCGCTTCCAAACTGAGGACTAATTTGGCACAGATGACAGATGCCAATGGGAATATTCAGCAGCGGACAGTCTTGCCAAAACTTGTTAGCTGAGCTGAGTCCCCCGATGCTGGTAATCTGAAAGATACAATGTTGCTGAGCCTTATTGGGTTGAAAAGGAGTAGCTCAGACCTGTTTTTATTTGCTCAATAACTCGACTCATTTGTATCTCTTCAGCACTTATTTTAATGTAAGAAAGTTGTTTTGTTTTTATAAAATACATGGGGACAATGCTTTAAGTTTTTATACTTTCTGAAACTGTTTTTGTGTTCTAAAAGTACGATGAGCCTTACTGTATTTAGTGTGGCAGAGTAATAAACATCAGTGGCCGGCCATTGATTACTTCATGACTGCCATGCATTTACAGATTGGTGTCAAAGACATTCACTATGTTTTTATGGTTCATAGTATATTCTCCTCCAGGTGATTGCCCGAAGACACCCCCTTCTCTCTCTCTGCTCCAGGTTCACGCACAGGTGTAATGTCCTACTTCTGTTTTGCATAGGTTATCTGGGTGGTAGTTATGGTGGGAAGAGAATGGTCAGATTGAAAATGATGTTCTAAGAAAATTGCACCTTAGAGATACTTTTTTTCTGAAGTCGTGCTCAAATAATAAAATTCCCAAGGCTTAAATGTCCACTTAGCATTCTGACATTCTCAAAGCTGGCCAAACCAGACCTGGTGGATAAATGGGAAAAAAAGTGTGTGTTCCTCCGAGTCTTCTAATATGATCAGCAAGCTATTTTGTAAAGAAGCCTCGAGTTACAGAATTGGTCTTGCACCTAAATTTAGAAATGTATCCCATGAACTGTTCCTCCCTTCTCTCTGCTTTTCTCCTCTGTCACTCTAACCACACATCTGTTGCTTGCATTTAGGTTTTTTCTTCCTTCAAATAGATATCCCAGACTGTTAATACAGAAAAGAGACATTTCAGCTGTGATTATGACCATTGTTTCATATTCCAATTTTAAAAAGAACAGCAGCCTAGCTACTTAAGGTGGGATTTCCACAGTTCCAAAGAAGGTTTAACAGGTTAGCGTGAGTTCCCACTTGCCAGGTACCACTGTAAGGTTCTCTTAGCCTGGGAAAGTATCAACTCTTTCTTTAAAAAAAAGGGGGGTGGAGGTTTGAAAATCTTCTGGATGAACAGGAGTCATTGTGGCTGTTCAGTAAGGCTAATTTTAACAACAATTTAAAGGAGGAAAAGGTCAACCTCAAGTTAAATGGTTTGATTTAGTCTTTGCATCATTAGAAAAACCACAGAAATTGCATTCCTCTATTTTATTTTACTTTACTTTGGATTGCACTGATTGTTTTGTGAGAATGACACTTTACCTGGAAAGTAACTGAGAGTTAAAAGTAAAAAGACTATTTTCTTCTTTGAATAATTATTTTCACAGTGGAAATTTCAGTATTTTATCACTAATGTATGAGCAGTGATATATATCAATTGCAAGGCACGTGAAAATTTTTTAGTATGTGCAATTTAATATAGAAAGATTTCTGCCTGTTTGGAAATAGATTTGGGTAGTATAAATTAAGATAAATACTCTTTTATATGCACAGATATTATTGTATTGCCTGTAAATTGATTTACAAGTACTTAAAGCATGGTCCCCAGTGAGGCCAAGAAAGTTTCCGGTTCAGTTTTTTTGATATTAAACCTTCAGTTTCTCTTACTTAAAAAAAAAAAAAAAAAAAGTGGTTTTGAACAAAACACTTTACTTATTTTGAGGCTTTGTCAGTTGATGGTGGAGAAAATGCTCAGGAAATACTACAAATATTTGCCAAAAAACAATAATAAGATTAGCTTATTAATAAGATAGTGATGTTGGTGTTTGCTTTACTATTTAAGGGTGTTACCGATAAATTAATTTGTACTTCTGTATTTAAAAATTATAGCTTCTTCCCTCTAGTCAGATTCTTTACCATAATGTACACATTTCTGTGTAATCTGTGGAAGCGCAATGTGTTAGTAATCTGCATTTTAAATGATGCTCGTGTGATGATACCCCCAATCAGTGGCTTACAGAATTGAAGGATTATGTATTTATTATTAAAATTTTGGCTTAAAGGCATAAGAAATGTGAGACTTGGTGTGATGGCTTTGTAAAACCACAAGCCTCTTGATGGTTAGCTTCTTTAGGTTGTTAAAATAAACAGAAACATACAGCTGTTTTCCCTTTGCAAATGCTCCTTTTCCATGTTCACTCTCATTTTCACATTTAGATACAAATATATGAACCTGAGCCTGCCATTAATGTGAATTTCCCTCTGAAATAATGATACATGTGAACACTTATAAATGGACTGATACTGTTTGTCTTTCCCCCACCACACAAAACTGGTTCTTAAGATGCCAACAGTGCATTTGTGACTGTCTTTATTCACAAATGTAACTGGAAACTTTTAAGCCAAACTATAATGTGCAGCACCAATGGGCTCCCCCTGCCCCCCAAATCCAGTGACATTTATTTGCAAGAGCTGCCCTGTTCAGTGTTTAGTGATAGAGCCACTTTTCAAAAATTCTAGCTTGATTATAATGTCAAAAAGAGAAAAATATTGCATCTTTGTGATTTTGAAACATACATAAAATGAAGGGCTCTGATAGGCTTAGGAGTTGGCTTGGAAACAGTCCTTGGTCTCACAGGTTGCCATTGCCTAGGGATGTCTGAGCTGTTTTCAGAGTGAGGAATAGCACAGCGCTGTCTTGTCTTGGGTTGCAGTCTCATCCGGCTCCGTTGCCTGCACCACCGGAGTGCGTTACCACCTCGGTGTGCTGCGGCAGCAGCGAACAGCAGTGATGCAGGACAGTGCAGATGGACAGTAGAGGAGAAACTGTGCCCTTAGTGTTAACCATGTGCCTTTTGTTCTGAATGCCATGTTGTAGGGCATGCGTTTTTTGGCCTCTTTAACTCTTTGAATACTGGGCAGTAAGGATGGACCCCACCTCTGCAAAGATACATCTGTCTTAAATATCCAGATACTTATAGGCCTTAATAGAAACCATAAGGCATGAATCATCGTCAGGCACTGAGGAAAGTAACCATTGCTTAGTTACACAGGGAATTCCTATGTTTAAGGGGTTAAAGGTGGTCTTTGTTGTATCTTAACATCAGACTGGTTTTTTTAAATGATATTTTTTTGTTATGCGAACACTAGACAAAAAAAAATCAACTGTATTTGTAAAAATTTACCTCAAACCATTTAATTTTATAGTGTGATTAATCCCAGGGCATTTGGTATGAACCAAAGTGCATTCCTTTTCTACGTGCCTGGCTCTAGTAAGGACGGCCAGGGATTTTTACAATTTGGGTGCAAGGCACTTACGCCACTTTTAAACTTAATGGGTGGTTTGGAGTCGCGTGAGAGGGCTCCATCGGGATCCTAGGAACACTGTAGGCATCAGTAGCATTGGGCCATATTGGAATCTTAAAAGTGTGAATCCTTTTAAAGAGAGCATTCATTTTTGTAATTTTTTTTCATCAAGAATATTTCTGGTAAGCAGAAGACTTTACAAAAAAGAAAGAAACCTGATTTGGTTGGTAAAGGTTTTAATATTGCCCAACATAATGCTGTGGTGGCATTTAAGAAACAGCACACACACAGTGTTTGTGAACTCTTTCATAGGGGCTTGTACATCTCTGCTATGGACATATATAAAGTTAATTGTAATTATACTCAGCTCAACTGCTACAGTTACGTCTAGGCAGTGGCTTGGGTTTTCATCGAGCAACAACTTAGACCCGTGACTGTATTATGCTGCAACTGTGTGTACTGAAAATATGTGAAAATGGTTGAATGTGGACTGTGTATATATGTATGTACAAATTTCTGTGAGATGCTGCTGTCGCCACTTAACATGAAGTATGTTCTAGTGGGTTTTAATCCTAGTGGCCAGTTCTGTGATACTGTATGTATTGTACAGCTGATGGCAGGAGTAAGACCGTTCAGTGCATATTTGTTAAATCTTATTGTCGTGGCCAGAGAAAATTTCAGAATAAAATTTTAATGTCCTACCTTACTTTTTCTCCCCTTTTCTAACTATAATTTTACTCCTGATCTATTTCTGGTATTCTTGGTCTAGTAGCCTCGAGGGAGTATAGTATGCAAATATTTTCAGCAATAATTGATTTCTTTATTATAAATGTGCAAATTTCAAGTAAGAAAGACTGAAGTTTTTGGAGGCAACACTTGCTTTTCTCAGGAATTTCCTCTTCCTTTAGCCTTAATATTTCTATGTTCATTTTTCTTTATGTAGCCTCTGCCATGTTCTCTATCATGCTAGACCTTCAGATCTTTTTTTTTTTTTTAAACCCTCAAGGTGACAGTGGGAGCAGTCTATAAATTAATCCACACCAGTCTTCTTTTCTGTGCACAGTTCTGGTCAATTATCATGTTCTCTTACCAACTCCCCCACATGCTTTTTAACGTTTATGCTTTTGCAGTTCTTGTACTTCTGGTCTCTGGTTCACATTTTGGGGGGTTTTAGTGTCTCTGTCATCATGGCTGGATCAAAAAATAAGGCCTGGGAACTGCGACCACCTCCTAATTTGTCAAGTTCAGTTAAAACCAAGCTAAGAGTTGACTTTCAGATAGATGACAGCAAGCAGATGCTCTAGTAATTTGTCAGACATTGCAGAGATATTATGTAGACAAATATTTCCTTCTTGTGGAAAGAACTACCTCATATTTTTATTGACACCCTCCCTGCCACCAGCAGCCGGAGAATGACTTAGTGTGGCTTCCGGCAGAAGTGGGATTTGCTAAAACCAGTGCACACTGTAGGAATTCCCAGACCCACACATGCTCTCATAGCCAGTGCCGTGGACTTCCGTTATCTTACCCAGGGAAAAAATACCAACCAAGAAACCCTGCGTAATTAGAAATAAAAATTTTAAGAAGTGCACATTTGGTTTAACATTGAAAGTTAATGCTAAAGCAGCAATTTGAATGTAAAGTGGATTGTCCAGATCTGACCTCCCTCAGATCAGATAAGAGAGCCCACTCTTTTTGGAAAGCTCTTTCTTAAATTGAAGTTCTGTGATCTTTTCCCTTTTGGAATCAACAACTATACAAATGAATATTCTTGGGACTTAAAGGCTGCCTTTAAACCAGCTGGCATTGGTATTGGTCTGTTAGAGAAAGGGCAGTTAGCGTGATCATTTTTTGTTTTGGAAGGAGAGCATGAAGAGACATTTGAAGACGGTATTTGTGGCTTTGTTTCATTGTT